CCAGATTATATTATATATACACATGTTTTTCCAGATACCCTCTAAAAAAATTGTTACATAGCTATTGAAAATGGCCGTAGAAATAGTGGTTTTACCCATTAAAAAATTGTGATTCTCCCATAATTTGTCAATGACTCACTGGAAAACTTCAGGGTTTTTTTAGAGAAAAACACGAGGCAATTCATCCACCGCAACGTGGGCCACCCAAAAAATGGCTGATCGGCTGAAGCTGAAAAATCAGGGTAAATTCAATGAACCCCCCATAAAAAGTATACAATGTGAGGCCCCCAAGATAGCGTTCAGTTGGTTTATAAGTCTAATAACTATGGTTTATGGTATTTGTAACTATAGTTACTGGAGCTTATAAACCAACTTATAACTAGGGGGGCCCACATTGTAGGTATATCTATGTATATCTACCATAAACCCGGTAACCCTGGTGATTGTAGTTACTTATAATTGTAATATAATCTGGGTAAATTTGATCACGACCTCATTCTTCTCCCTCACTATAATCATAGTTAGTAAGGGGACTTATCCCAAAATGGCCCAACAATTCAGGTTAGTGAAATGTTATAATTTACCCAGAATGATAATGTTACAATTCAGCCAAATCCATATATATATATTCACTGGGAATTTCAGGATCCTAAAATGGAGGTACTGCACCATATAAGGCCATATTTTGTGGGGATATCCCCTTACATAGGCCTTACATAGGCCTTACATAGGCCTTATATATGGTAGGTACCTCCAATCAATTGGTTCCTGTTGCATGGTCAATGATTAAATCCCATGAAATTCCAAACAGTCTGTTACCCAGAATGATCATGTTACAATATGTTGCAATTCAGCCAGATCTATATACCGTTTGGTTATTTAACATAGCCTAGCTATGGAAAAAATCACGATTTTGGATAGGTAAATCATCATAAACCCTCTATAAATGGACCATTTTCCATAGCTATGTTAAATAACCAGAGGGTATATTCTTCTCTCCGGGGTCATCTTCAGCACTATTCTCGACCGAGGGCCGGGGAGAATATGTTCACGGCACTTTTTACCATAGATGCTCGGTCAGAGGGTGGTACTTCACCACATGGTACATGAACTGGTTAGTGGTTTCAAACATGTGGATTATTTTCCATAATATATGGGATAATCTTTCCCATTGACTTTCATATTTTTCGAGATGGTGTAAACCACCAACCAGTGAAAAGTTGATGGGCATATATGCCAAAAACAACTGGGTTCGAAAAAAACACAATTTAGAGCCCAAGAAAGAGCACAACGCGCAACGCACAACTGCAAAGCCTCATGTTTGACTGCGTTTTGTCGTGTTTTTTTTGTGCTGTAAATTGTGGTCACTGTTAGTGGGTCGAGGCTATGTCCAAGCTATGCCTGCCGTGTTGTTAAACTTGAACCCTTGTCAACGGCCATCTCAGGAATCTAAATTGGAGGTACCTACCATATATAAGGCCTATGTAAGGCCTATGTAAGAGGATATACCCCAGAAAATATGGTTTTATATGGTACTAACGTACCTCCATTTTAGGATCCTGAGATTCCCATTGACCTTGTATCACGGTGTGCCCAAACCATAGCTAAATTGGATCACCACCGTATAAGGTTAGCCGAGTCACTTCTAAACAGAACTTCGGGGTGCGGACGTGGGTGAAACACGTACTGGTACACCCATGGTTATAGGCCCCCCATAAGTATCCATAAGTTGGGATATAACCCCTATAACTAAGGTCAATTATGACAACTAAGCTTCATCATTGTTATATATCATATATCCACTTCTAACTGGAAATGCACTGCACCACCAAGTGCTAGTTTCCTTGGCGTGTATCATGCCATGTTGCATTGGTGTCCCCTGCAAAGCTATGGGAAAACTCCCCTCACTTGGATTGCTGTCAGCGGCCCTGCAAGTACAATCCCAGTTGTATTCCCCATAAATCTCAGTCAGCTTAACAAAGGGCTTTAGTTTTCAATGTTAACTTTACCATGTTCTACGATAGCGCCATCGGCACCAAATTCCATCCAGTCATCGTCACTAGTCAACCTGTGGAGACTCTTCAGAGTGGTTTTCTGCGCCAGCAATTTTCTGCAACAGCTTTGGATGTTTCGTTGGTTTAGCCTCTGGTAAACGTTTACACAACTATAGAAAATCACCATTTTCAATGGGAAAATCCACTATAAATGGTCATTTTCAATAGCTATTTTGACATAACCAGAGGGTAGCTGAGTTCAACCGGTGTCTTGCCCACCATGGCTTTGGACGGACGCGTGTCGTGTTCGCCGGCGATCTAATTGCAGGTGTACAGCTCACTGCTTACGGCTCGCACTGGATGACTCAGTGGCATCCTGAACATACGGTTGGCCAATTTTCCTTGCCTTCTATTCTACAATGTGAGGCCCCCAAGATAGCTAAGTTGGTGAACATAACTCCAATAACTATGGTTTATAGGTGATATAACTATATAGTTACTGGGGTTTATAAACCAATTTATAACTAGGGGGGCACCACATTCTAGGGAATATGTTGGCTTGTCAAGACACATAAGCTCCGCCCGACAGGTGTCGAATGCATACTTGGTAGATCAGCGGGTTCGGCGCAAAAAAAAGGTAACATAACCCATTTCTGGATTTGGGGCACGCTCTGTAGTACAGCACGGTTCTCCCCATCACGTTCCTTGCATGATTATCTTATACATTCCATTACATCCCCATTCTGGTTGGCGTGTATCCCCGAAAAACATCCCCATAATACGATAGTAAACTTAGTAAACTCAACAATAAACCAGCCCCAGCAAGCACGCGCAAGCACGCAGCAATGAGGCTTATCAGTATCCCAACGGGTTGGGCATGCCCGGCATGACACCCCATTCAAAACGGTAAGCCTCCTTGGCACCTCATTGGTTGCCTCCGTGGTGGGTTGACCACATGAATTTTTGTATGAAAATTGCCTTTTGTTATCTCAACCAGTATAGGTAAATCTTACATGGGTACTTTAATCCTTTAGTCTTTTGGTATTAATGGGAATATCTACTGACCAGCAAAGATTTTTTTTTTGCAGGGTATCTAAGATTGGCAATGTCAAGATCATGGCAATTTTGGAGGTTCTCGCCCGTAGAACCCGGAGCGGCACCATTCTTCAATTGCCATGATTTCCCTCTGGTAAACGTTTACATAACTATGGAAAATCAACTACATGCCTATGGAAAACCAACTATAAATGGACATGTTCAATAGCAAACTGGTAGTTTACCAGAGGGTACTTACTTAAATATCACCAGCTAAGAATCATCATTATTAACCATCATTATTAACCATTATATACCATTATTATTATACCAAACGGATCCGAGTTCGTTTTACAACGCTTTCGTTCACCCCATGCCGCTGGAACTGGGCCCGCTGCCCCAAGCCGCGGAGTTTTTTTCGCTCCAACTCAGGATGTGGTGGTCCGAATCTTCATCTTGCGCTGTACCTTGGAAAGCGAACTGGAGTCGCACCATTGGAAAGTTGGAAAACCATAGGAAAACCATAGGAGAACCATAGGAAAATGGTGATTTAACCAGCAAAAAAGGAGATTAACTATGGTATACTATGGTTAATAGGGTTTATTAGCTGCCGAACATGTTTGTGGCTGAATTAACGAACTGGTTTATGGCAGGTTATGGTAGATATAACGAACTGTTTTTTAAAAGGTTTATAAACCAATCTATAAACTGATTAATGTGGAAGAACATGATTACAAGATATTACAAGTAGCATACCCTTTGGTAGACAAAGATACTGTAACCTATGGAAAAGAACAATATTTAATGGGAAACGAACTATTTCTATGGCAAATTTCAATAGCTATGCTAGTAAAACAATGCCATAAACCACCCATGTGGGAATGGTTTATTCTACCTATTTATGGTGATTTGGGTGGTGGTTTACGGCATTGTTTTACCCACATAGTAGGTGGTTGAACCAGGAATGTGGTAAACCCTTACGAATCAACCATCTCCGACATCACCAGTTTCATGGATGGTAACATCCCCCAAAGGTACAATATGAGGCCCCCGTTCGATAGCGTTCAGTTGGTTTATAATTCCAATAACTATGGTTTATCTATGGTTGTAGGTAATATAACTAATATAGTTACTGGGGCAAATCTAAACCAATTTATAACGCTTGGGGGGCACCACATTGTAGGTTTATGGCATGGCGTTTACCACGTTTACCACGTAATATGATAGGTTCACCGACTGGATCGGTAGAAACTAATCCTGAATAGTATTATCTACTAACTCGCCAGCTAAGAATTTATTTTTGTGTAGGGTATATATATATATATCTAAGATTGGCAATGATAGTAGTGTAATAGTTCCAACTGTAATAGTACCACCTATAGGATAATTGGCAGTATACTCAGTATAGTAAGCAACAATGAGATAGAACAGTTTTTAACCACCATATGGCTGGGATGTTTCAATGTTCTATTTTTTGGGGGTTCCATGCTGCGCCAACTTTGCTAGTTGGAGGAGTGTTGGAGGCGTCCTTTTTTATTTGGTACTTTCCATCTATATTTGGAACCAACATCATCCAACATCCCACACAGTGCCCATATTATGAAGGGGCTTTCTTCGATGGCCGTCGTGGCCACATTGGGGTAACAGTTGAACTTACGCACCCAACTGAGTGTCCCTGGGTCATTGGATCCTGAGTCAAGGGCAGGTGGGTCGCAGGGCCGTTCACTGCCTCCAATTTCGCCGGTTGTGTTTTCAGTTTACGATGGCCTTTGGGGTCTTGCAGGAGAGTCGGATCAGCCCTACCTCACCGCAAAAGTTTGTGAGGAGATCCTGGTGAGTCTTTGCTTGGCACCACTTAGGTTCACAGATTGGAGAGCATCAGTGGACGTCAAGGCTTCAGACGCCTCGTGGAGGTTTTGTGATGGCCAAGCCTCTCACCGTAAGTTGGGAATCGCCGCCGCTCGTTAACAGGGCAGTCCTTTGGCTGAGCAGCGCCGTAGCGGCGTGGTGTTTGACTCCTTCGCAGGGATTGAAAGCACCCGGCCCGCGGGGTCGGAATTCACAGACATCGCCGGTGTGGGCTCGCCCTGTCAGGGCCTTTCAAGGCTGTCCGTTGTGAACGCGGTTGCACCTGGACGAGCGTTCAAAGCTCTTCTATGACTTGGCGGACAGGCTGAGAGAAATCTACCCTCTGGTAAACGTTTACATAACTATGGAAAATCACCATGTTATAGCTGGGTAAATCAACTATTTCTATGGCCATGTTCAATAGCAAACTTAGCAAACTGTAACAAATTACCAGAGGGTACCTCAAACCTGTTGACCGCTTTGAACTGCTTGGTGGTTTGGAACATGAATTTTGTTTTCCCATATATTGGGAATTTCATCATCCCAACTGACGAACTCATACCCCCCAGAGGGGTAGGTCAACCACCAACCAGTGAAACATGTTCCCATTGTTGGGTAAAACCCATGGAGCTACCCGATGATGAGCGATGCATTACGTCATCATGAGCGATAGCATACTTTGGGGAGCAGTTGAGGTGGGAAAAATGTTTATTTTTTTGGGGGGTATAACCATGGTCATAATCTTCCAAAAGGTGGGATACAAACGATCTACTTATCACTATGGATATATATATATATATCATAAAATATACGGTTATATTATCACAGTTTGGAAGCTATGGATTAAAGCAATTAGTTATCTAGAGTTATATTTATATATATATATGAATCCACTTATCACAACATGCTGCACTGCTTTCTCGTGTTTCGGAAGCCTCGATGCATGGGCCAGCAGCCTGGTACAAGGTGAAACACCCCAGTTCTGTTTATAAAGCCCATGAACTGTAGTTATATCCATGATAACTCTTCTCTGAGGATAGGGGCGCTCATTGAGAGGGATACTCATTGAGCGTTTTTTTAGCTGCAGGCAATAATTGGAGGGTTGAAAAACCAATTACAAAAAAGGCAAAACTGGAGACCCAAGAAGCAGAGGGTTGAAAAAAACATGATGTGAGCAGGCTGGAAGTGGGGTTGGCTGAAAATGGGGAAGTGAGGGTGAATCATCTCATTTTGTTGGTACCCCATTTTCAGACAAGCCCAAATGGTGGAGACAGCAGTGGAAGATTTCAAATCTTGTGTGGAATTTTCAAGAATTTTTGGGAATGATTTCGAATTATACAGAATTTTATGGAATGTTTAGGTATGATTTCAAATGTTTTGGAATGTGGGCATATTTGGGGGCAAGGCTCTATGAGTAGCCCTGCCTCTGAGTAGCCCAGGGGTCATGAATGAATAACCTAGTTACAATTCACATAAAGCATAGAATTATCTAGAATTCACCAATAAGTTATAAGATGTTATAAGTCAACTCAGCTATCTAAATCCCATTCAAACATCTCACCCCATGGAAAACAGCAGTTTTGCCTGGTTTTGAGGCAAGTTTTTTCGGGTCTACATGAACTACATCGACATAGCTGTTACGGTAGCGTCACTGACAGAGTTGGTGATCTTCCATGACGCTTGGCGGTATCCTGGGTATCCTGGGTAGGTTTTCGCAAAGTCACGAACAGTGAGCCATGTTTTTTTGAGTGTTTCTGGGTGGATTCTTGGGGTGTTGCCCTACGTTGCCACGCATTGGCCTCACCCTTTGTATCGGTTGAGCAGCTCCGATTTAGGGACCCTAGGGATCCCTAGGGCCTGTGAGTTGATCCCGTTGAATCCTCGCAGCCGTGGATCTTTGTTTGGGAAAACCTTATCTACAATGTGAGGCCCCCGTTCGATAGCGTTCAGTTGGTTTATAATTCCAATAACTATGGTTTATAGGTGATATAACTATAGTTACTGGGGTTTATAAACCAATTTATAACGTTTGGGGGGCACCACATTGTAGAGATTTTCTGAACCCAGCTTGGTACTTATTTTCCCAGCGGGAAATCCATTACTTGGGGACTGTATGGCTTTTTGGGGAATGTTTATATAATTAGTTTGTAAAAACGACCCAGTGGTGAATAGAAGGAGGAAATGGGGAGCCAGTTGGAGCTAAGATTTGAGTTTCCAAACCACATGATAGTAGTTTCATGGGGAAATCACCATTAAATCCCATTATGATCCTATTACTGTAACCCCATAATTGTGTATATATATATATATACATATATATATATATGTATATCATACTCCCATGATAATCCCACTAGATTCCATTGAACCCCCATTTTTATGTGTTCAATGATGATTTTTCTTTTATGTTTTCAAGTCGCAAGCCCTCCGTGCCTGGGATAAACCTGAATACAAACAAAAAACTGCCACATGTTGAAAAAAACATGAAACTAGTCCTAAATATGAAATCTAAATACTAAACCTAATCTAACAAACCTAAATATGAAAAAAACATGAAACTATAGAGTCCTTGTTGGATACCCAAAAATGCAAGGCGGTGTCCCAGTTCGGAATCGCCAAGTTGGGTTTGGTTTTCTCCAGTAACTTGGGGTTCCACATGGCACATATATCGAGCTAGTTGTTTAGGTGTCCAAAAAAAACAACAAACAGGGAGGACCACCTTGTAGCCATGAATAATTTGCACGAGCCACCAGTTTGCTATCAAAAATGGCCATAGAAATAGTTGATTTACCAGATATAACATGGTGATTTTCCATAGTTTTTTGTATGTTTACCAGAGGGTACATGGGTGCTGAAACCAACTGGTGATGGCTAATGGGTAGCTGGGTACTACCTATTCTGGTTGATGGTTTGGAATATTCTTATATTTTCCATATGTTGGGAATAATCACCCCAAGTGATTAATATTTATTTTTCAGAGGGGTTGAAACCACCAAGCAGCTAAGCCAGCTAAGTATATTTGGCTAAGTTTGGGTCGATTTTCGATTTAACCAGTCCAGTGTCCTGTGTAAAGTTGACTTCAAAAAACACCGGAGAAAAATGTCCGACGTTTCCTCCCTGAAGTATTGAGGCGTCTTCACTAGAGTTTCTCGAGTTGATAGGGATTTTTGGTTTACGCTCCTATTGTCAACAGTTTCTACAAGGTGGTGCCCCCTAGATAGCTAAGTTGGTTTATAACTCCAATAACTATGGTTTATGGTATTTATAACTATAGTTAATGGGGGTTATAAACCAACTTATAACTGGGGGGCACCACATTGTATGTTTGCGCAGGGCTTACTTCCTTAATCTTCCTTCCTTAGTAGCTGATTTGCCAGTGATCTAAGCGAGATGTCCCCAAAGCATATCAACATAGTCCAGCATTGTTATATAAAAAATCCCCATCAATCGTCATGTATTGATAATTATTGATGGGTTGCCACTCATAAATTAACATAAATCAACATAGACCCTGAAAATAGTCAATTGGTAGGGAGAATACCCTCCGGTAATTTAACATAGCTATGGAAAATCACCATTTATAGTGGATTTTCCCATGAAAAATTGTGATTTTCCATAGTTATGTTAGTTTACCAGAGGGTAATGTTCCAACTGCCCATTTGGACGGGTCTATGTTGGTTGGGGGAGTTGAGGGAACAGTCAACCCTCACAAACATGCCGTTCTTTGTCACATATATAGTTGATTAGGTTATGTCTATATATGATGGAACCATTCATATCCCGGTTCTATACAACCATATCCCATTAAATCCCCATATATCCCCATTTTTGATGGTTAAACCTCCATTGATCCCGTTCAGAACACCCATTGTTTTTAGGCAGTCGACCTGCCGGTGAACCCCATCCTCTTTCGACTGCTGCGCATTGGCAAACTGGCGCGGGCCATTCGCATGGTCACCATGAATAGCGCCCCTCGGCGGTCCACTGGGGACATGTTGATGAACGGGGCATGGGATGAGCGATTTTCCTGGTAGGTTATAGACTCAACCCGATCCCAATCATAATCTGGTTGGTGGTTTGGAACATTTTGTATTTTTCCATATGTTGGGAATGTCATCATCCCAACTGACGAACTCCATCATTTTTCAGAGGGGTAGGGCTCAACCACCAACCAGACTAGTTAACTAACTCCATGTCCTAAGGGTACAAGGTGAGGACCCACGGTCAGATAGCTGAGTTGAGCTCAAGGGCGTGCTGAGTTGAGCTGCGGTGGCCTTACAGGGAAGCAGCTCAAGCCAGAGCAGCCAGGGCAATGCTGTCCAACCAGGTTCTGCATTTTTGACAATCCTTCTTCTTGGGCGAAGCGGCTCTTAAAACAATGGGAGATCTTCAGGATCCTAAAATGGAGGTACGTTAGTACCATATTTCTGGCCATATTTTGTGGGGATATTCCCTGAAATTTAGGCCTTAGATATGGTAGGTACCTCCAATTTAGGTTCCTGAGATAGCCAGTGATTAAAACCTGCAAACGATCAGAAATACCAAGAAGCGGGCTTGGTTTGGAGACGGTTGTTGCACCGGTCCTGGAGACAGCTAGCAACCATCCGTGCATGAAGAGCTCCGTGCAACGGCGGGAAGTTGCCGAGAGCTCGAATAGCATGCCCCGTCTTGCATCCAACAAGCCAGCTCACCAGCAAACTCAAAGCGGCAGGTGGAGGATTTGGGATTGCAAATTCACTGAGGCGGAGGCTGGCATCCCAGAATTTCCCAGACTTGAGGAAGCAGTGTTTTCAGAAGCAAAATCAACGAAGCTCAACCTTCAACACGGCCCCGAAGCCGCAAAATCCCAGGCCCAGCTGATCTCCCCATTTCTCCCCAGTGTTTTGATGTCACAGCGGGATGAGGCGGCTGATCGTTTCTGACGCACATTTTACTGGGGGATAGAACTATAGTATCATTTTTAATGGGTAAATCCACTATAAATGGCCATGTTCAATAGCAAAGTGTTAGTTTACCAGAGAGTATAGCTGGGGAGCCCCGCCGTGTAGTTTCTACAACGTTTGTCAAATGATGATTTTGGCCTTTTTTTTTTATGGGAAGATGTACCGAGATGGGACGTCTTTGTGCCTTTACATCAGAACAGATCCAGGAGGAGCCAGCCAACTACCCACCATTTATGGTTGAACAGTGGGAAATTGATCATCAGATACCCTCTGGGATGATGATGGGATAATGGTGTAATAATTGTGATTTATTGGGATTTAATAGGATTTTAC